AGTCAGTCAGTGTGTCTGTATGAACCCCTCTCTCTCAGTGCAGTGTTAATGTACTGGAGTGTCCAGTCAGTGTGTCTGTATTAACCCCTCTCTCTCTGACAGGATTTGGTGGACACAGACCTGCCCGGTGCAGTCACTCTGTTGAACACTCTGACTGAGCAGGTGAGTGCTGGTTGTATCAGTACCTGCTCTTCCTCTGTGCTGCCCCTTCTCTTGATCAGCGTCAAGTGTCCCTTAGCAATGATATCTTACTACACAAGAGCTGTGAAGCGAAAGTTTGCTTCCCATGGAGTTACAATAAACCTTGGGAGTAGAGAGGGAATTCGATGTGAGATATTGCAGGAATCCCTTCACTTCTGGTGTCTGGCTATGGGTAATCTGCCGCCCCTGCTCTGCTGAGCGTGATGGACTGTTCTCTGTTTGTATGCCAGGTTGCTGCGGTTACCAGCCACGTCCAGGGTTTGATAAAGAGGGTCCGGGATGGGATGTACCAAACAGACAAGGTAAGGAGGGGAGGGGGGTTAGAGGTGTGCTTTGGAGAAAATTGGGAAGAAAAACAGGTTTTAGGCATGTCCTCCCTATGGAAAGGAACAAGTAAAGGTTTATTCCACACAAGGTTTCGGCTGGGGAGTCTTCTTCAGGTGTCATGTTCTCACTATGTAGAGCGAAGGTATATTTGAGATGTAACATGGGTTTAATCCTCACAAAAGAGCCCATTGTACCCAGTTCTACTGACACAGTGGGAAGAGTACACATGCAAGTGTGCAAATAAAAAATAATGTGCACATCATTTAGAGCGGACTAGAATGTACAGTCTGTGTGTCTGCATTAACCCCCCTCTCTGTCCCTCAGGGGCTCAGTTTCCTGGACCTCCGGTACCACCTCCTCCTGTTTTACCTGCAGGATGTGACCCACCTAATCAGCTCCAAGACAGAGGGCCGGAGTCTGAGGGATAACAGCGCCATCCACAGGCTGCTCGCTGTCAGGACGGTAAAGCGCCCTTTTCTCCCTCCTGCTGTTTCTCTTGTCTCCTCTTCCTGCTGGAGGTCCTGAGCTCAGGGGTCAGGAGGGTGGTGGGAAGGCTCCTGTTGAGTCCTGATCCAACAGAACCACAGGCTGGAGTGGGGAACGGGCCCTGTAGCCTGGAGGGGACTGACTGACTCCGTGAATGTCTCTCTCCGTGTCTCAGGTGCTGGAGAAGATGCGCCCGATTGATCAGAAGCTGAGGTATCAGATTGACAAGCTGGTTCGCACTGCGGTGACAGGCAGCCTGGGTGAGTGCTCTCTGTGGTTCTGCCTCTTTCTGTACCATGATCTTTCCTCTCTGCTTGCTCTCTACCCAGTGTGTCTCTCTGTCCCTGGATTTCTCCCTCTCCCCCTGCCCTGCTGTTCTCAGTAACAGGTCTGTTTGTTTGATCATCAGGAGAAAATGACCCTCTGCAGTTGCGTCCAAGACCAGAGAATCTCATCAGCAAGGTATTGACCTATATCTCAGTGTCCAGTCAGCGTGTCTGTATGAACCCCTCTCTCTCAGTGCAGTGTTAATGTACTGGAGTGTCCAGTCAGT